TATGGGTATGTCCCTATAGGCATGCTGACTTTAACACTTGAGAAACACCAAGGAGTAGTATAACTGGGTTATATAATTGTTTCATTCCTAGTCTTTTCAGAAACCTTCATACTGATTTTAAAGGCAGGATGTTAGCTTATTTGGCTAGCTTATTTGTTCATGAGAATAAAATCTAGAGCTTTGGCCAATCAGAATCTCAAGGCAATTGGAAATCAGGATGAAATGGCTTACTAGCCAATGCAATATTATGGTGCTTTGAAAAAGTCATAGCCTCTGTAATGGTTAAAACTCACTTGAACAGAGTGTGTTGGTGCATACCTGTATCCCAGCAGCTCAGGAGGCTGAGACAGGAGGATAGCGAGGTCAAAGCCAGCTTCAGCAATAGCAAGGTGCTAAGCAACTCAATGAGACCCTGCCTCTAAATAAAATACAAAATAGGGCTGGGGATGTGTCTCAGTAGTCAAGTGCCTCTGAGTCCCATCCCTGGTACACCCCACCTCCAAACAAACAAAAAACTCACTTGAAATATTGGCTCGGTTCTGGGCAATTTTCTTAAAAACAGATCCTTGAGATCCCTGAGGTACTCAGAGATAATGTCTTAAATTAGTGGTGCAACAATTATAAGTACTTTATTTAAAATTATAATAACCAATTATAATCTTAAAATATTCAGCTTGGGAACGGAGGGATATGAAAAAGAGTATAACTGTTTTTCTAAGGACAACACACACACACACACACACACACCCATTCTATACATACATATATACATGATGATATTTGTTAGTGTTATTATGGAGAAAATCATAACCTTGGAAGAGTTAAAGAAGACTGTCTCCAAGAAGTGAGACTTAGGGTAGAGATAAGGTTGGGTTAAAAGCCCTCTGGTGCTATTTGATTTTATACAAAGAACACATCCTTACCATGGATTTTAAAAGTAAACAAGTCTGTATCACTACTCTTCCCTGCAGAGAAAGTGGGAACAAAAATGAAGCCAGAGAGAATCTAGAGGCTACCATGATGGAAGATGTGAAATCTGTAAACTGATATTAAGATGGCTGAAGAGACCGGGGTCATTTATTCTGGAGAAGAGGTTTAAGAGGAGAGTTAAGGAGAGGTGAAAAAAATAGGATAGAATCAAAAGAAAGAAGAGATTCCTTGGATGACCATATTTATAAATTACTATTATGGTTTGGATATGAGATGTCTCTCAAAAGTTCCTGTTCATGCAGGAATATTTAGAGGTTAAAGAATTAGATTTATGAAAGCTGTAACTTAATCTGTCCATCCTGTTTGGTGGTAACTATAGGCATGGAGTCATGACTGGAGGAGAGGGGTCACTGGGGGCATGCCCTGAAAGGGTGCATCTTTCCTGTGGTCCCTTCCTCTCTTTCTCTCTCTTCTTCCATGTTGTGCTGCCTTACCTTGGGTCTAGAGCAAAGGAGTTGGCCATCCATTTCAGTCCCATTGGACTAAGACCTCTGATACACTGATCCCCAAATTAACTTTTTCTCCTCAAAATTGTTCTTGTGGGTATTTTGGTCAGTGATGCAGAGACTCACTAAAACAGAAATTGGTTCTGAGAAGTGGGGTAGTTGCTGTGACTAACCTGACCATGTGTTTGAGAATCCTTTGAAAATGGTTTGTGGGAGTATTTGGGAAACTTTGGAAATGCAGATTTCAGACTGTTGTAAGCAGAGTTTAACGGGTGATTCTAGTGGGAGCTCAGAAAACTAGAATGCTGGTTGGACTGGGGGCTGTGCTCTTGTTTCAGAGAGAAATGAGGACTCTCTTGGGAATTGAACTAGAGGCCACTCATGCTGTATTCTGACAAAGAAGCTGGTTACATTTTGCCCATGTCCTGAGACTATGTGAGACTGAATTTAAAAGTGATGGAGTAATTAATCAGGCAGAGAAAATTTCAAGACATCATAGTGTTTAGTCAGTGGCCTGCATATTTTTGGCAGCTTTAAGCTAGTTTCTTGTGAGAATTGGGAGAAGAAAGCAGAGCTAAAGGATTTTCAAAATTTTCAGTTTGACTGGAATAGTGCAGGTAAAGCTGGGGCCAATAAAGCTGTGCTTGTTGAAGAGATTTCAGTCCCTAAAGAAATGCTAAGTACTTTACACAGAGATAAAAGGAAAGATGCCTTGAGGGTATCTCAGGAATTTGTAAGACCACACTCTTGAGAACTCAAGGATGTAGAAGGAAAATTCCTTTTGAGAAGACATATTGGGGGTGCCTTACTCACATGGAGGGGAGCGGTCTAGGAAGTTGTTTCACCATATTGATCCATGCAGTCACTCAGGGGCCCCTGCAGCCATGATTCCAGGGAGCCCAGGTATCATGTGAGCTGGCAGCAGACCTTAATGGCATAATCGACATGGTGCTGATTCTGTAGGAATACAGGATGCCAAATTTAAGGGGTCATGAAGACTTCCACCTGAATTTCAAAGGAAAGCTTGGGAGAGCAGGCAAAGTACAGTGGGGTCAAAATCCTGGGAGGTTGCTTCTGAGAGGACCATGTGTGACGTTGTGAGGGTGAAGCCCAAGTTGAAATGGAGACCCCAGGAATTAAAAGATATTGGCAATTTGGACTGTCTGCCAAGAAAAGCTGCTGGCTCTGAAGATAGCCAAGCTAAAAGAAAGCACACGTGTGTTACAAACATTAAATGCAGTGGGTCTGTCCAAACCCTTTGGAAATAACTTCTCACGGCCATATGTCTTAGATACTGTATGTGGAGTTCTGGGACATCTTTGACTAGCTTGGTTTTGGTAGGTCCCATCCTTTCTTTCTGTGCCCTCCCTTTTCCTTCCTTTTTAGAATGGGAATGTTTACTTGATGCCCCTGTGTGTTGAATATATATAACTTGCTTTTGATTTTATAGGAGCTCACAGCAAAGAGTTTGCTCTGAGTCTCAGATGAAACTTGGACTGAACTTTTGGAAAATACTGAAACTATTTGAAATATTGAAACTAAATGACTGGGTAGTAACTACTCCAGGCAGGTGTGGTGTGGCTGGAGGAGGTGGATCAGAGGACGCATTCCCTGTATTTTCTCCACAGGACCCTTCCCCCACACCCTCTGCTCCCTGACCTCACTATGACCTTGAGCTCCAGCCATGATCTAAACAGCTCTCCTCTACTGTGTCCTTTCCCCCCATGATGTTCTGCCTCATCTTGGGCTCAGATCAATGGAGTTGACCTTCTATGAATTGAGACCTCTGAATTTGTGAGCCCCAAATAAATTTTCTTCTTCTAAGTTGTCCTACTCAGGTTTTTTGGTCACAGCAATGCAAAATAGGCTAAAACAATTACTGTGGGAGCTCCTATCTTGAATACCAGGACCTACCGAAATGTATGTGAGGGGTGTGGTTGTGTACCCAAAGAAGTTATATATAAATTAACGTTAACCTGGGTATCAGTATTTGGTCAGGGGGATAGAGCTATCATTTTCAACCGATTTTTTTTTTCCCAAAGTAGTGTATGATTTGAAATAGATTAAAAACTCTTGTTAGTTGCCTGTTTTATGAAATAATACTCATTTAAACAGAAGCTATCTTTCTGTTCAAAAATGATTCTCACATTGGGTAGTATAGTTTATTTGAATAAATCTTTTCCGCTCTTTGGTTCAAATATTTGTATAATGAAAAAATAATAATAAAATAAGTATAACAATAAAAAGCACCATTAAACAGTTATTACAGTATAGTTTTCATGCTAAAACATGAACATGGGCTCCCATTCAATTCTTATAGCACTGCATTAAAAAGTCAGAGAATAAAAAAAAACTTGCTAGAGGTCACCCTAAAGTAAGGGACCAGTAGTAAGGTTAAAACCACAAGTCTGACCCTAGAACTTGCCTGCTAACCCCTTTTGGAGGGATTTTTTACTATTTATTTTGACTCTTTCCCCCTCTTTAGCCTATGATAATTTGGTATCATTACTGATAACCTCATACTAGTGTCCCAAACCTGCTCCTTTAGTTTTCTTCTGTGAAAAACTTGGTGCGACTTACCTTAAGGGAATAAAGGGAACTTTAAGAGACTCAAAATATAGGAAAAATGGTTATTTAACATCTGTTGAATTTAAAGCAGCCTTTCTTCTGAGCAGGCATTCAGTGTCTGTTCTCTACTATCCATTGATCCATTGATCATGTTTGTATAAGACCCTAATATCTGGTTTATTTGAACTTGATTTCATTTAATGCCATTTATTATATTTCACCAAAAAATGCATGGATATCTAAATACATAGAGAGAGAAATAATTATATTCATTTTCCATGAATACAATTGACTATAAATTCATTGTCTTGAAACAACACTAATTTATAGTATTTTTGTGTTCTTTAGGTTAGATTTCTAACATGGCTATTGCTGGGCTAAAATCAAGGTGTCAGCAGAACTGTGATCTTTTCTGGAGGCTGTAGGGAAAATATACTTTCATGGTTTGATAGCTTTCTTGGATCATGGCTCCCATTCTCCATCTTCATAGCCAACAAATCTAGGCAGAGTCCTTGTGCTGTATCATGCTGATCTCTTTTTCTGCCTCTCTCTTACACATTTAAAGACCGTTGATTACATTGGATTTACCCAAATAATCCAGGATAATCTCCTCACCTTAAAGTTATTAATCTAATTACATCTGTAAAATTATTTTTGCTTTATAAAATAACATATTCATATATTCTGGAAGTTAGGACACAGACATCTTTAGGACAGCACTATTTTACCTCCTATAAGCACATGCTCCAGGCCAAGCCATGTTTCAGGGACTGGGATAAAACAATCCCTTCCTTAGAGGAGTTTACTGTTTAGTAGATATTTCAACAGGCAACTGAAGCACAAAATAATATGTGCTGTGACAGAAGTAGGAACCAATTATAGTACTGTGGAGGAAATAACTGTATGCCTCGGGTGTAGAGTGAGCTAGAAAGAGATTGGTTAAAAAATTAGAATTATCTTTGACCTATTCATAGGATCTTGTCCCTTTTCATCCAGGTTTTGAGACTCTGGGATATTCAGCACCAGCTGTCCATCCAGAGAATAGCCTGTTCTTTCCCCAAAAGTCAGGACTTCAGATGCCTCTTCCACTTTGATGAAGCCCATGGACGACTTTTCATCTCATTTAATAACCAGTTAGCATTGCTGGCCATGGAGAGTGAAGCCAACAACAGAGTGAGAAGCCACCAGAAACCAGTCACTTGCATTCTTTACAATTCGCTCCTGAAGCAGGTAACCATGCTTCCTGCCCTGTCTCTCTCCTAGCACCTCTCCAAGACCAGCCACTCATTTCCTTAATTCATCCTAACCTCACACTGAAGACAAATCTAGCAAAAACAAATGTGGAGAGGAAATGATTTAGCGATCATGTACTCTTCTGCTATAATGTGTGCCCAGGTGAATTAGAAGAGGGATTTCATTTTCCACCAGTGACTATAGCAGCACTGATAGAGTTACAAGGAATGATAACATTCCAGCTAAAACAAACACAATGTGTAAAGTAATTGAACTTATCTTTGTTACCAGTTAGTTTGAATCTTGAGCCAAATGCAAGTGAACCTGCTTGTAAAATTCCCTTTTATGAGCACCATCCTCCTGTATCCCAGTGTAAAGTTCTGAAATATGCATGAAACGTAATTAGCAAAGATCCATTTTGCCAGCGTATTTTACACCAGTGGCTCACAGTGGCAGCCCAGAATGTATTCATAATAAAATGATTCAGTTAAATGGGATGGCACTTGGTATGCAGCGCGAGTGTTGTTTGTCTCCCCACCACTTTAATGATGCTCTGCAGCCTTTGCTTATGGGGAGCGCTACCTGCATCTCAATGAAGAAGACTGGCTCCCCTGGAGCAGAGATGCCACTCAGACCACGGCCCTTCTTAGAGGACAGGGAGGTCCAGCTGGGAAACCTGCAGAGCTGGGTAGGGGACAGCCTGTGGGTCTTGTGGAGGGGGCAGCAACCAGTGGAGGTTAGTCTGCTGAAATGATTACCTCGGGCTGATGGTAATAGCACAGCATGAGTCAAGCAGAAAAGCAAGTCTCCAGCTTGCGGCCAATTAAACAATAAGTCCAACCCATTCTTTCTTTTCCCTTCTGTGGAAGCTTCTGTGTTCACGCAGAAATGAGTAGTTCAGATTTTGCACAAGGGGTGGAAAGCCCTTTGTTAGTAATGACTACTGTGTCATGTCACTACTTCAAATGTTCTGTTTTTCTGGTTCTTCTAGGAGATAAAAATCCTTTACAGAACTATCCATTTTGAATTCCATCTGCAGGGAAACATTCCCCTGCAAATGTTTTGCTGAACTTTATGAAGGCAACCAGCTAATTTGGCTCCCTGGTGGCCGCTGAGAGAGAGAGCGAGAGAGAGAGCGAGAGATGTGTTTGTTTCCAAGAGAATATTCTGTTAATTGAGATCTGCAAAGTTAAAAAGCTAGGTTTGCTTATAATGTTAAGATCCTATGTTGCATGGCCATAAAATGAGATATGTTCCATGAGGAAGTCAGGAAATGGGACACAAAGATCTGAAATCTTTCACCAGGGAAGCGAAGATAGAACCAAAGTAATACAAATATATGTGAGTTACAGGTGACCAAAAAAAAAAAAGTGCATATGGCAGATGATGTAGAAAGTATCACTGTACATTTGAGGACAGCTCTACTTGTTGCTGTTAATGGCTTAAATAACTTAAAGCCTTGATGTGTATATAGAACACATACAGCTGTATACCACACATACCAGTGTTTTCTACATGTGGCTAAGCTATCAATGCTTTAACATTATTATATTTATAAGAATGTAATGCAGAATAGAGTACCACTCACAGTCCTATCACCAATAATAACCCATTTTAAAGGCATAAGACAAAGCAAATAAGTAGTTTTGAACCACTTTCAGGTGATAGACATGAAGAATTAAATATTAATAAACCTCATTTCTTTGCCCCAGTAGCTCAGGGAGACTCAGCTTTTTAAGGGCAGGTCCAGATCCTTCCCCCAGGGCTCACTGCTGGGCAGGTACTCATTAAGAAAGAGAGGCAGACATACTATTGACTGACCAGGAAACAACTGAAGGCGGCGAAATGAAGCACAGGTAAAAGCAAAGTGCTGTTGGCAAAAAATGATTACTTCTCCTTGGGCTGCAGTGCGGTGGATGACATTTCAGTCCTGAGAGCTGGAGTGGGAGTCTCTAGGAGGAGAAGGAGGTCATCCCAGGTAGAAGGCACAACAGGAGTGCCTGCAAAGAGATTTGAGTACTCACAGTGCCTTTTCTGAGGTTGGCTTGGCTATTTGGGGGAGTTTACGGCAAAGGTTGTTGGAGTTGAGGCAGTCAAGGGAGATTAGGGCCAGGTTGTGAAGGTCCTTCACTGGACAGACCACCATCTGGTCTCCGAAAATTAAGCATAGACTTGAGATTTAGATAACAATTCGCACACTATGACTGTGGACCCCTGGGACACTCAGATCCTCTGGGAGAATCTGAGAGGTCAAAACATTTTCATCATAATAGGGATTCTCTTGTTTTCGTAGGGGTATACAGTGGAGTTTTCTAGAGGCTGCATGATACATGATCACATCATTCCTCTGACGGCTTAGGGAATATGTGTTTTTGTATTCTTGTGTTTTCACAATCAGTTCAAATTTGTAATGTGATGAATATATACATACGTGCATATGCATTATCTACTATATATGTACACATATAGACTATATTTACATATATACACATCCCCCCAAATGAAAATTCAATTTTGAATTCTTTAGTAATTTTTGAGAATGCAAAGTGAACCTAAGACTAAAAGTTTAGAGCATTGCTAAGCTAGAGAGGTGGGAGTTGGAGTTCTGGGCAGACCCCTTAATCTGACTGATCTTCAGTGTACTGGCTTTTAAAAATATCTTCTTCTATGGGTGTGGGAATAATAATGGCAATGTGCCTTTCCGGCATCGCCTTGCTAGGGCTGGCCACTGGTCACTTGGAAACTGTCCTGGCCCTGGTTCTACCAGCTCCTTTGGTCATAGTAGGGTGAATTTTGCTGCTTTACATCTTTTTTTTCTTATTAACTTGTTGGGATTTTTTAATATTTGTTTTAATCATGTGTTGTGTGGGTCCTAGCCCTGCTTCTCTCAGGAATGTTCCTCGAGGTGAGACCTTCTCTTCTTGGCCATTGCAGTTGCTTCTTGTGGACATGCAGTTGCAAAGATGAGCTTTGGTCTTCTTCTCCAGAGACATCCCCAGTCATTCTTGCCTCCTTGCTTTCTGAGCATTAGTCATGTATCTAGTTGTTTCCTCAAACACTTAATCTTTTATTTTTGTCTCTTCCCATGTTTGTGGCATAAGGAAAAGAACTTGTCTTCCACTTTTTCCACTTCCACTTATTTTCTTACATCTCCTAACACTGTTCTGAGTACAAAATAGATGCTCAATGGCTAGATTTGGTTGATTATTGCAATTTCACATTGCACATTTACCAGGCACCTGTGCCTTTTCAGTCCTGGCTCCTGCTCTTTGGATATCTGGTTTGGCATCATTATTGAAAGCTTTCCCTTTTGTCTGAATTTAATGAAAACCTTCTCTTCTGCTGTCATTTCAACATGTTGCCCACATTTCATTATCATTTCATTACATTTGGACTTCAGTGGGGGGAGTTCACGTAATCCTTCTGTGAAAGCGGCTTGGCACATTCCTGTGACTTCTCTTTATCTTCTTGCCTTTTGGTTTCCTCACCTCCTAACCTAAGCAAGTGTGTTAAGTCACACAAACCCTTTTAAATGGAACTGGTTGTAGCTTGTAGCCCTCTCAGCTACCAGCAGAACAAATTGGGACTAGATGAGGAGTCCCTGGAATGGACTTTTTTGAAGGAATTAATTTTGGAGGCCATTCTAATGAACCATCTTTACAGTGATTTCTTAAATGAAGTTTTTATTAAAAATTCATAAATATTAAGAAAATTCATGAAATGTAATTCTATATATCACCTAAAGTGCAATAGGTAAACTTTCTGTGTTATGACTAAGTTCTTCATTCTAATGATGTAGATTTACATGCTTTTATAAAACAGGTAATGTTTCAGTTTGTTTTGCATCTTGGACACATACGTAGTCAAGCTAGATATTTAAGTGTTACCAAATCTTAGCAGAAATTGTATTTACTATTTATGTGAAAAATAAGTTTCACATTATATGTGAAACATTTTATATATATAATATTATGTATATATATATATATATATATTTTATATATACACATACATGTAAGAAATTAAAACAATGTAGCAAAGCTCAAATAAGGAACTAAATATTGCTGAGGTTTCATCAGCAAGTTCTAAAATCTCTGTGCATAGGCTTTTTATTACATAAATATGGTTCTGTAACTTTTTATTCAATAATATATTGGAATATTATAGTTCCTTGTGCTTAAACATAGATCTAATTCATCATTTTTGAAAGGCAGTACAGTATCTCTTTGTATCATAATTTACTGACCCATTTCCTTTTTATGAATACTTTTTTCTTATGAAATTTTTTGTATACATACGTTCACACTCATGACTTTATCTCTGTAGCATAAATTCCTAGAATATACTTCTAGATTAAAGGATGTGCCTATTAGATAGTTTGATATACAAACTACCTTCCAGAATTTTACCATATTATCCAACCCCTAAGAGTATATGTAGTCATCTTTTTTGTTGCTATATTTTTATTTATTTATTTTTCTGTGGTGCTGAGGATCGAACCCAGTGTCTTGCAATGCAAGGCCAGTACTCCACTGCTCCACTGATCTACAGCCCCAGCCCCATATGGTTGCCTTTTAAAGAGACTTGTCAGATTGTGGCCAGGTGGCTTCTTCCAGCAGAATTCCTGAGATTCTTGATGGGGTTCCCATAATCTAGCATGGAATGTTTGCAGATTTGAAGACTAGACCCTCTTCATTTTGTTCAGAGTAGTGCTGTTGTTTTGAGGATTGACTCTCTCCCTGTCACAGGAAACCTAAGGCTAAATCATTCTTTAAAGAGGGGACCCATGTCCTTTGTTCTTTTTGGGAAATTGAGGTATTTGATGATCCAGATAATTCAATTGCTAGTTCCCTTGGGAATTATAAAATCTTAGGAAAGGGATGAGGCTATCCTTGAGAGAAATTTACCTCTACTTATAACGCAGTATATCTGTTTAGTATTTGTATTTAAGGCAAAGTCAATAAATTTCTCTTTTGCACAGAATTGGATGAACACTA